AACGAAAATGAAAATTTGCTTGATAATTCAACTACGCTTGTTGGAGAACAATAAAAACACTACACTCAACAAGCCACCAATAAAACTCAACTGCCTAACCTATAACCAAAGTCTCCTTTTAATTTGTTTTTTAAAAAAAGCGCTTGACAAACTTGCCCCGCATGCCGAAGTTACCCCGATCTCCCCTAATTGATCTCGAACTATATATTCCACCGCATATATTTGAATTTTGCTCTCTATTAGATAAAATGTTTCATTAATTAAACACAGTGATATACACGTAAACAATGCACTAAAACCAGACTTTTCCAGACTTTTATGAATCATTTCCTAACTATATGTTCTTAAATAATAGTTATTCAAACTTGAGTAAGGCTCTTTCCGGATTAGTTATAAATATTGTAAAGTTATATTAATTAAAAAGTAATAACTCGTTCATCGACTGCAAGAAAAATATACATTTAAAAAAATTTTAATGTAATAAATAAACCTATTAGTACATAGGCTATATATAATAAAATAAATTTGATTACAATAATTTCAACGTTTGTCTTTTCTTATAATGATGAATTGAAATATTTTTAAGATTAATTAGATATAAAAATATATTCTAAATAAAACTTATTGTGTTATAATCGCCTCCTTAGAACAAGTGACATTAATCCAAAATTGCCAATTTTGAATTAACTAGAAATGAAAGGTTGAAATTTCGACAAAAATTATGAAAGAAATTATCTCAAAACGATATTTTCAAAGTTATATCACGAATATTCTCAGCAGACCATATATTAATACTTTTAATTATTTATTTTAGAAGATTTATAAGTTTCTCAATGAATTTACAAACGTATTAGTTAATAGCCCACAATAAAAAGTAAATAAGATAGTATTATAAAAGTTTGAAGCTGTATCCAGCATTCAGTGGTGGATTAAAACTTTTTAAGGCCCTGGACACTAAAAATTGAGGTTCTCTACATAATTTTACATCATAAACTAATAACATCTAGTTATATCTATAGAATTATTTATAAATTATGATATACAATTTTAACAGGAAAATTGGTTTATATTTTCCAATTTTAGGACTATCAAGACTCCGGACTCCTAGGCTTATGTTTTCCTTGCTTAGTGGGCAATCCGTCACTACCGTATCGGTAAGAAATCATTAAATATGACATTAAAATTCTCGCCAAAAACCCAAAGAATTTATTTGATATTGGAAAATTTTTTTCTATGAACTGAAGAAAATTAAATGTTATCAATTTAACTTGTTTGTTTATCAATTTTATCTTTACCAAAAGATTTATAATGTTTTAAGGAAATAAAAAACTCTTGTGTCATCGACATAACTTGCGTGCAATCATTGAGAAATTTTTAAATCAAGTCAGACGGAAAAACATTTTATTGCAGAAAGTAAAATTTTTATATTTAGATTTTTAGACTAGATTAACAACATTAATCGTTCGTGTATTCAAGAGAGTCCATAGATTAACATAAACAAAAAAAGTATATTTAAACTGCTGACATGTGAAAATGTACACTTTTTTATATATTTATTCAAATTATCTACAGATAATCACCGTGTTTATGCTCGAATTTCTAATTATCATCTTTACGAGATGTAGTTTATTTCGTTGTTGATATAAATTTGAAACTGTATTTGAATTTTACAACGTAAATTCTTTCTAAAAAAGGATTTTTTAGAAAGAATTTAATCGTTTAATCTGTATGACAGAATTAATAAGATTGCTTGATATTACTTTTTTCCGTATTCACATGCCAAAACATTTTACAGAAGATGAAATATCCTACTAGGATTCCTATATTGTTCCAAAATGTTATGCACTATTTATAATACACGACAAGAGATCTATAGCTATCTAACCTATTTCCATGTTATCAGAAAGGCATGCAATCTTTTCTGTTTCTAGCGTATTTTCAGAAAACAAAAGAACAACCCAACTAATAAACCGAATAGTTGAACAAATCCGTTTAATTCATTCGAATTTCTCATTTTTAAAGCCAATTCAAAGGAATAAAGTTTAAAGAACTTTAATTTTTTTTTTAATTTTTTCACTGAGTTTCACAAATGGGATATTAAATTTAGTTATTAAAACCTATTAGTTTAAAATACTATTTACATTTATTTAAATATAATATTTCTTACAGCTTTATTTATGTTTTTCCGGGTTGTGTTATACACCTTACGTTATAGTAACACTATCCAGGGCATATCTTGTTTATTTCTTTTGCAATGACAATAAATTTTGGATAAATGATGTCTTGGTGAGGTAGGAATGTAGGTTTTTATGTTTTCATGCTGCGAAGATACTATATACAATAGTTACTTTCATATTAATTTTATATTCGTATTAATTATAACTTACAAATTCAATTTTATTTTATACTAATATAAATTTATATAAAAATAAATTATAAATTTGTGTAAACATGGGGTTAAAAATTGGAAAATTTTATTTAATTTAGCATTTAATTTACATTAACTAACTAAAATTTTATTTAAATTCNGGACTATCAAGACTCCGGACTCCTAGGCTTATGTTTTCCTTGCTTAGTGGGCAATCCGTCACTACCGTATCGGTAAGAAATCATTAAATATGACATTAAAATTCTCGCCAAAAACCCAAAGAATTTATTTGATATTGGAAAATTTTTTCTATGAACTGAAGAAAATTAAATGTTATCAATTTAACTTGTTTGTTTATCAATTTTATCTTTACCAAAAGATTTATAATGTTTTAAGGAAATAAAAAACTCTTGTGTCATCGACATAACTTGCGTGCAATCATTGAGAAATTTTTAAATCAAGTCAGACGGAAAAACATTTTATTGCAGAAAGTAAAATTTTTATATTTAGATTTTTAGACTAGATTAACAACATTAATCGTTCGTGTATTCAAGAGAGTCCATAGATTAACATAAACAAAAAAAGTATATTTAAACTGCTGACATGTGAAAATGTACACTTTTTTATATATTTATTCAAATTATCTACAGATAATCACCGTGTTTATGCTCGAATTTCTAATTATCATCTTTACGAGATGTAGTTTATTTCGTTGTTGATATAAATTTGAAACTGTATTTGAATTTTACAACGTAAATTCTTTCTAAAAAAGGATTTTTTAGAAAGAATTTAATCGTTTAATCTGTATGACAGAATTAATAAGATTGCTTGATATTACTTTTTTTCGTATTCACATGCCAAAACATTTTACAGAAGATGAAATATCCTACTAGGATTCCTATATTGTTCCAAAATGTTATGCACTATTTATAATACACGACAAGAGATCTATAGCTATCTAACCTACTTCCATGTTATCAGAAAGGCATGCAATCTTTTCTGTTTCTAGCGTATTTTCAGAAAACAAAAGAACAACCCAACTAATAAACCGAATAGTTGAACAAATCCGTTTAATTCATTCGAATTTCTCATTTTTAAAGCCAATTCAAAGGAATAAAGTTTAAAGAACTTTAATTTTTTTTTTAATTTTTTCACTGAGTTTCACAAATGGGATATTAAATTTAGTTATTAAAACCTATTAGTTTAAAATACTATTTACATTTATTTAAATATAATATTTCTTACAGCTTTATTTATGTTTTTCCGGGTTGTGTTATACACCTTACGTTATAGTAACACTATCCAGGGCATATCTTGTTTATTTCTTTTGCAATGACAATAAATTTTGGATAAATGATGTCTTGGTGAGGTAGGAATGTAGGTTTTAATGTTTTCATGCTGCGAAGATACTATATACAATAGTTACTTTCATATTAATTTTATATTCGTATTAATTATAACTTGCAAATTCAATTTTATTTTATAAAGAAAACTGTTTATACTATTAATACTTAAAAACCAAAAATAAACTGCACTTTTACTTAAACAAATATATAGTTTTACTACCAATTACAAATAATTACAATCAATCTGCATACTTTAAATTGTGATGAAATACCTGATAATACTTATTCTATATATAAAATTATAGGTAAATACAAANGTAATTCTTAATTTAAAACATCTTGTACTTCATATACGAGAAGCTTTAAACCTGTTGATTACGCATATGAAAACTTATTAGTTAACTTTTTTGTGTATTTAATTATAAGGAATGACTTCGTGATTAATACAGTCATGTTATTAATAATATGAATAATGAAATCATCAGTATTTCATCATTAAGTGGAAAATAGAGCTGATCCTCATAAGCTACAAAATAACAGAATATGTTGCAGCAGAATAAGCAACATATGACTTGGTTTATAAATAATAATATCTAAATATAAAATTTATTTAAGATGGAATATGTAAGTAAAGAGATAACTAGAAATACTATAACTATCGAGCTTGTCATATTCTCTTTTACTCCTACGTTCAGGGTCATACTAAAATCGGTCATATTGATTGTTGGTTAGGTTGTTTCTGGGTGGGTTGTTCAGAACCCACGTTATACCAAGTTATTCTGCTTTCCTCCCAGAATCTTCAGACGTCCATGATTACAAGAACTTGTTTTTATTTTTTCTACTTAAGATTTTTCCATATTTTTAAAAATAAACATTAACGATGTCGCTGTCTGAAAACAAACTATTATATGAGTAAAGTGTATAACTAATTAAAATGAATGCCAAAAAAGTTTAGGATTATTACTTTTATAATGAGTTATAAATATTTAATTATTTTAAAGTTGTGTTTAAATATAGGCCTATAATTTGTAATGAATTATCATATTTAATATATTGTTTAATATTATCATATTTTAAACAGATAAGATTTGTCTTATTTAAATATAAATTAAAGTTTTCATTGACCCGTTTTCAGAATTGTCCACATCACAAAGAGAGGAATTTTATAATGTTACTTTACGATCCTATAAAGTAATTATATTGCTTGACTTAATTTATAAATAAATTAATTCTAAAACTTAAAAAAATAATAAGTGTTATACATTTTTTAAAAATATAGAATTTTAGTAAAGTATGCAACTGGAAATATATTCATTTTAATATTCGCCCTTTTGACTCGAACTGTAGGCCTAAACCTCATCGAATCAGCCCAAGACAGTCCAAATTTGGTGAACAGGTGGTCGGATGACAGGGGCATCAATACACGTGGGCATAGAACGCCTAAAGCGCATGCTCTGCGGGAACCAAGGGCGTAACAACAGACACACATGTGACTCGAGACTAGAAACGAGAATTCGTCGAGCAGACGACATCAGAGGTTGGAAACTATCGTCGACGTCTGTCTCTCTCCGAGTTCGGCGACAAAATGTGATTACTCTATAATCTAAGGCGCATTTTTACGCGGGGTTATGTGATTGACATGGCTACTTCAGAACCCTCTCGTCTTCGCAGGATTTATAATGTCCAGGAAGCAGGTAATCGGAAGAGGAGGTCAGGGACGTCAAAGGTTCGTAAACGCCAATTATGTGACGTCATGGGACTCTCGTTATTGACATCGCAACGTCCAAAATGTCATCTTTCTAATCGCCCGGTTTATCGACCAGTCAAGTGGAAAAGTTTAGAAGTTCTAGTCAGAGTGCCCGACGGCAGTGTTAGAAAGGTTTGACACTTTATGTATTAAGCTATTCATATTATTATTAATCCGGTTTAAACAATGACATTGAGTGAAACGATGTTCTTTCTTCTAACAGATGTTTAGAATTCAAGTTTAAAAGTTATAGTTTAACGATACGGTTGTAATAATGCTCTTATCAGTAAAACATGTTTCTGCCATCCCCTCTTTAATACTTCGTGAGTTGAATGGGTACTGTATTTAGTAAATTCTTCTTCTATTTCTTGATAATAAGCAATATTATTATTCTAAACATAAACAAATAAATACATTACATTGATAAATAATTTTTTATAAGTATTTAATACTTATAATATACTTATAAAATACTTTTTATATTAAGTATTTAATACTTAATATAGAAATTTAATTGGCAATATTTTATCAAAAAATATTAAACAATCCGTAATTTTTATTCGTTGATTATAAAATAGATCTCGAAATAAATGATAAGCATTAATCGATAAAGAAAATTTCAATTGAATCGTAAAATAAATTACATAAAAATTTGCTGTTTCCTCTTTTTAATTTCGATCTCTACGATTAAAAAAAAAAAAAAAAATAGAATATGTATTGGATTCCAAGAATTTAATAATTGCTATTTCCATGCATTCTGCGATTAAGTAAATAATGTGCTGCTGAATAAATATGCTGACTAGCGTAGGACATTAGCATCATTTTATTATTGAAGACACATTCGAGTTAAACGCATCAAATTTTATCTCTCTAAAAAGGACAATTTTGTAAAACACTCTTTAAAATGTTGACATAATCAAAGTATTCTAGATAAGAACTCCACATATAGGCCTATTTAACAATGCTGTGTATTTATATTATATAATTTAATTTAATTGTTAAATTTTACATTTTCAAATTGTAATAGTAATGAGAAAATAAGTATAGATTTTATGTTTCATTTAATTGGCATTTTATTGCAGATTTTATGATCCGAAACTACATTAATTTTTGCAAAGAAAAAGTTTTATTTTCTTAAAAGGGAATTGTGTTATTTTCAAATTTTTGAAATTCATTATGGTAGAACATAATGACTTTGAAATTAGCTGCTGTGTGAAAGTAAACAATGAATAATAAAATTATTTAACGACATTTTATTATAAACAACTTAAGTATAAAATGAATAGTATTTTCATAAAATAATTATGAAAAAACAAAACACATACTTTTCATTTTAATTATTAGATAATGATTGGAAAAACAGGTGTGAATTTTTCCATTTTGATTCTTTTTTCAATAACTCTTTTCTGAGACTAAAATATCTAATTTTATCCTAGAATATATAAATAAATTACATTTCAAAATAGTATAAACAGGTTTTGTAATAAGAACCATCAACTTAAAAAAAAAAAATCTGAACGCATCCTTCTGTAAAAGAAAGGAAATTTTCATTGTTTTTATCTAAGATTTCCTAAACTTTCACTTTATAATTTTAAATATATTCGTAAAAGGAATTATTAAGCTTTTATTAAATGTAATTCTTAATTTAAAACATCTTGTACTTCATATACGAGAAGCTTTAAACCTGTTGATTACGCATATGAAAACTTATTAGTTAACTTTTTTGTGTATTTAATTATAAGGAATGACTTCGTGATTAATACAGTCATGTTATTAATAATATGAATAATGAAATCATCAGTATTTCATCATTAAGTGGAAAATATTAGTTATGGAATATAATTATATAGATCACATTTAATTAGTATTAAATAAAAATGGCTGATTTCAAAACTTTTAAAAAATTTCCTCGTTACAATCTAAAATCTATAATTTCTAGTGGAATAATAAAATAATAATAATAACAATTGATATCATCATTTTAGATTAAAAGTTTAAGATTGATCTAATATAATCAAATATAAAGAAAATAATCTTATAATGCTGATTAACTTCGTTTTACTTAATTAAATATTAATACATAGGAGGATTCTGTCTGCAATTTTCAGAAAAAGTAAAGAAAAACAAATTTTTGTTTTGATTATAACATAGAAAATAAAGAAATTATCGTAAATTTGAGTTTATTCTTCATTTTTCTGAAATTTTCACATTTCGGTGGACGACCCGCTAACAATGTTGCATGTAGGAAGCAAAAGATGTGTCAATACCAATCTTCCTCTTCCTGCAGATCAATGTGAAATAGGCTAGAGCGAGGAAAACAGAGGCATTGTACTTGAACGAACTTTATTCGTACTCTACTCCCACATTCATTGCTTTTTTATGCTCAGAGACACATTAGTTAAAACTGAAATATGCGTAGGCATACATAGGTCAGTGATTTCTAAGTACCTGAGTGCTTGCTAATCAAGTGCATGCCACTTAGTAGTAGTAGGTGTACCACAGTAAACGAATACAGTATGGTTGTAGAACCACTGTAATAATATTTAAATCGGTCGATTATATATATATATGTGTGTGTGTAATTTAGTATATTTATATAATCGACAATAATATCTTTATAAATTGTCTTAAAATGTATAATACTTTAGGGCCTATATATAATTAAGAATGCTTATTAATATGGAATTTTATTCTATTATAAAAATATATTTAGTTAGCAGAATTTAATTGTTAAATTTTACATTTTCAAATTGTAATAGTAATGAGAAAATAAGTATAGATTTTATGTTTCATTTAATTGGCATTTTATTGCAGATTTTATGATCCGAAACTACATTAATTTTTGCAAAGAAAAAGTTTTATTTTCTTAAAAGGGAATTGTGTTATTTTCAAATTTTTGAAATTCATTATGGTAGAACATAATGACTTTGAAATTAGCTGCTGTGTGAAAGTAAACAATGAATAATAAAATTATTTAACGACATTTTATTATAAACAACTTAAGTATAAAATGAATAGTATTTTCATAAAATAATTATGAAAAAACAAAACACATACTTTTCATTTTAATTATTAGATAATGATTGGAAAAACAGGTGTGAATTTTTCCATTTTGATTCTTTTTTCAATAACTCTTTTCTGAGACTAAAATATCTAATTTTATCCTAGAATATATAAATAAATTACATTTCAAAATAGTATAAACAGGTTTTGTAATAAGAACCATCAACTTAAAAAAAAAATCTGAACGCATCCTTCTGTAAAAGAAAGGAAATTTTCATTGTTTTTATCTAAGATTTCCTAAACTTTCACTTTANATTTGAAAATTTGTGAAAATTATAAAATTGAAGGAAAGTTTATACATTAATTTTAAAGTAAAAATACTATTAAAATGTTTTATATGAGATTTATAAATAATTAAGTTTTAAAATTATTATTTATCATACATTGAATTAGACTATAAATTTATACTGTTTCAATAATATTTATTAAACTAAAATGAAGTGAAATTGCTATTCAGTTAATGCTTTAGTTACATTATATCTTTTATAATCATATGTTTTTATAATAATAAATCTATATAAACTATGCTATTACTTCACTCATATTCGTCTATTATTTATTTATTTAGGCAAAAAATAGTTTTATTACTTTCTCCTTTTAAACTATAGCAAAATGCTTTCATGAAAAGTAAATATAATTTTGTGCTGAAAATTTTTTACAGTTGTTCATAATTAAATTTAATATATTTATTATCATTAAAACAGATTTAACATTGAAAATTATTTTCGTGTTTAGTTTTTTGGAGTGAATTTTATAGCTTTAAGACATTTCTACTATTCTCTCCCTGTCGCTCTCTTCGGAATTCAAGGAAAGAAAAATTAAAAAAACAAAAACAAGATAATTTAATTTTTACGCGACGATATCTATTAATGATTTAGAGCGAAAACGGAAACTATGAGAATTTAAAATTTTGTTTGTAAATCGAAAGTGAGTGTGTATATAGACCTGTTCATTTGGAATTTATACTTATCAAATATAGAATTTGTAATCTGTAACTATGTTAATGCTTGGATGTAAATGAAGTCACTCTTTGCAAATTTATAAAAAAATTCTTTATAAAGAAACATATTTAGAAATTCGAAGTAAAAAGTAATAGGGATATTTATTACTCTTATTAACGAGACTTTTGTTTTTTACTAAAATCGAAAAATAAATGAATAAATGATCAAAGTAATTGTTCCCTATATAAACTCATTTTTATTCATTCGAATAACTTTATTATTATTAAATTAAGTAAATAATTAAAGTAACAACACGAAATCATTGACAAAGTTATCAGTTTTGGGATTAAACATTACTTTAATAAGACTATTTCTATACAAAATGTGGATAAGAATTTTTTTAAATTAATTTTCGAAGTTATTAAACTACTGTATTTCCATTTAATTATTTTTTTTTATATTGAGAAATATTTGATAGATAAAAAAAAGTTAAGTAAATAATGATAGAAATTCTATATTTTTATATCAATATTAATAACATTTTTCAATGTTTGAATCACAGTCATGGCTTTCATGTCCTCACAATTTACTTAGAAATGAAGCAATATTGGCTTTCAATCCCTCACATAATCTCCAAATAAAATACAATTAATTTTAAAATAATGTTAAATTAAATTGATATATTTAATCTTTTAATATTTAGATCAAAAGATAGCCTATATGATGTTAATAAGAAATATTAAGACGAAAATAT